CGCTCCAAGCACAGAAGATGCTGTGGAGAGTTGCTGCAAATAGGAAAAAACAGATAGGAGATGATGGAGGACCAACTTTGAGCTTTTTTGTATAGACATTTTTTCCCCATGCTGAAGGATGGGAAATGTTTATAGTGACTGAGCCAGGAGGTAAACAGTGATCCCTGTATTGCAGCAGCAGCTGTACATAATTTGTACTGTTATGCCGTAAGTTTCTGCAAGGTTTGGAAGGCTTTTTCAAGATATTTGTTAAAATAGCTCCAGTTAAACCACTCTGTGAGGCCAGATTTACTGTGTGTTTCAGACAGTTCTTTAAGGCTGGCTTTGGTATTTTATTTAACAGAGCTTCTGCACAGCAGGTATGGTCCCTGGTTCTCAGGGGAGCTAGAAAAAAAGCTGCAACTGGGTTATAATGGAGAAAAAGGGGTGACTGTGACACTGCAGGAAGGGCAGAGTGACCTGGATCAAAAGTGCAAATCTACTCCAACACCAGCAGGAGAAAAAATTCAGGACACGCACTTTGCTGGCAAACTGCCTTTTGGTGGTTATAAAAATACTTCCTTGGATATTCATGTCCAAAAGCCAAACAAAAAATACATTATTTATGCAACATAGGAATTAACTCAGATCATGCAACAGCTCAGGTTGGACAGGAGCTGTTTCTCAGCTCTGAGGAACACCTCTGCTGTCTCTGCCCTGTCCTTCGATCAGCGAGTATCATGCAGTGCAGGCAGCAGCATCCTGGGGCGATGCACAAAACCTGTGTTCTGTGTTTAGGTCTCAGGTGTATTTTCTCCTATGCCCCTATCAGCAGCTTGACCAGAAAAAGTCCAGATTCTCTTCAAGGCGTATCCTTGCCTCTTCTCTGCTGAATAAGCAGAAAAATGACAATGGATTTGCATCTACCGAGAATATTCACAGCTCATGTGAGTTGAACAGACACACTGATTACTCACAACCATGAAGTGCCACCTCAACAGATTTTTTTTATTTATTTTTTTTTCCAGAATTGAGGGAATGGCAAATTGGTTAACTGCCCTTGACGTCACATTTATAAATGTTCCTCTTCTGAATTTTCTTGATATTTTCTTGCAGTCTCTTTAACCCTGCAGGCCACTGGCTTAAACCTGATTTTCCAAAGTTGAAACAGCAGCTGTGCCATCACAAAAGTCTGTTAGGAAATGTTCATAGCCTCATTGGCAGAAAAATGAAGCTATTTGCTAGGAGGAAAATGCCCCCCTGACCCCATTTTTTTTTTTTTTTAATTATAGCGAATCCAGAAAATCCAGCATCCAGAAGTGTTTGCCCCTTTTCAATATTATTCCTCAATATGTGCAATAGTTCCCTGCAAGTGTCACTGCATTGCTGTTTCAAGGACACTGAAGTTGCTCTGCCTTTAACAATTTTTTAATTCCTTGGGTATTCCAAACTCATCTAATGGAGGCTTAGCGCCCAAAGTTTTGAATTTCCTGCAAGTTTCGAGAGGATCAGTAGCCGTGTAGAGCTGCAGAGAAGTGTTACCGCTGATCTTCAGTGTTTAGTGAGGGTCATTTATTGAACTTTATTTCATTTTATTTGGTAATCCGACCAGCAGCACACAGAAGCACAGGTTGTACCTGCCCCACACATGCAGGAGTACCATGGGGGACAGAAAGCATCCCAGCTGGAGGGATGGGAAAGGTCGCGGGACACAGGGAAGGAAGAGGAGTTGTGTTGGTGAGGGGCTGTAAAATTGCAGACTTTGGGAACAGAATGTTCTGCATGGGGCTCTGCTCAATACAGTAAGTTAAAGCATGGTCTCCAGAGGCCTGAGGCAAGCCCTGGTGTTGCCTTTCCTGAAGAGACTTCCCAAAGAGGGATGTGGATATGCCAGACACCTGCAGTAGGACCTGCAGGAACCTCTGTACCTCTCCACTGACACTTGCCAAGGGCAGGAGGGAGGCTGGGGCTGTCTCACAGAGCCACTGTAATTTTTCTCCTGCTTGTTAAAATGAGAGCAGCATGACCCAGATAGTCTTCACCCACCTCTTAGCTCTCCCCTTTCCACCTCTATCCGTCTCCCATCATCTCTGCCATCCTCAGCCTTCAGACCCAGACTGTAGATCTGATCCAACTAATCCTTCTTCCCCACTTTGTCTACTTCTTTGCATTTCTTTGCATGCTTTCTCTTGAGCAACCCATCAATATCCGAGCTCAGGGTTTGGGATGTCTTCTGACAAAGCCAGTCCCACCTGGCTCTCTAAACCTCAGTCTCACAGCAGCAGGTCCTGCAGCTCATCCAGGACCAGGGATCTCTTACTCCATCAGCTTCCTTAATATTCTACCAGCTTCTCTGCCGGTAATTCCTGATCCTTAAATCCATTAGAGTGTGTGCTTTAGTACTTCAGCTGGAGAGTGGAGCGTCATTTCATCCGCATTCGTCCTGAGCCATAGGTGATGGCTCTGGCGGCAGAAAGCATCCAGACACAGGAGGAGCAACTGGTTGCTTTTGGGGTATGAAGTCCTTGGAATGTGAAAGCCTTGTTGGCTTCTCTGCTCAGCTGTTAATTATGACTGATAATGGTAATTGACGTGTTCAGAGCAGTAGATTGCAGGGTTAGCTTATTGCAGGCACTCAGCTTGTTCAAATGAGTTCATCAATAAATCAAAGCGGCGCAGACCTCCTAAATCCATGTGGGTTCTGCTGAAGCCAAACAAAATCAAACCTGAAATTGTCATTAAATTAGAAGGCCAATGAGGTTTGTAGCAAAAGCTAAATTCTGTAAATGATGGATTTAGATCTTTGGTAAATCTCAGAGGACCGAGGGTGTTTTATTGCCTTGATTATCCATATGAGACGTCAAACTGACAGAGGGCAGAGGGTGATGATAGCCCCAGCCTCATAATGAGGAGGAGGATATTAATAGCCATCTCCCGTGCTCATAGACATTTGCATTTACAGATGCACTCCAAGCTGGTGACAGCTTGCTGGGGTCTGGCTGGTAGCGAGGGCTTCCAGGGTGGTGACATGAAAGGGCTCAGAAATTTGGGTGCTGGCTGTGACAGGGGTCCTGCAGGCTTCAGCCCTTCACAGGGGGTTTGAGACAGCAATCATGACAGCAAAACTGCTCATTAGCCTGATGAATCACCGCTGTTTTCCATTTTTTGTGTATTTTTTTTACTTCACTGCTTCCTCATCTCT